AAGTTCTGAATGAAACATGTATTATTTTACTTGGGGACATGTCCTAAGGACCTGAACCTACTCCCGCTTGTATTGCACAGGCACCCCACCCCTTCCCTCCCATCCAGTCCCCATCCCCCCATTCTGTGGCCAAGCTCTATCCTTTCCACAGAAACTTGGCTTCCTTCCCTTCCGCAGCCTCCCCTTCCCAACCGAGTTCCATGATGGAGCCCCAGACTGTGTGAGATGCATAGCCAACCTCCATAGATGAGAACCCATAGGGATCCCCACTGCTCCTAAAGCAAGTTGGAAGCCTCCCTGGCACACACCATTCCTCATCGCACACGTACCTGCTTCCCTCCCATCCTTCAAGGCACCTATTGCTGTCTTCCTTGACAAGGTTAAGAGGTGGGGTGTGGATGGGTTGGCTCTAGCCACCCTGTCAGCCTCTCAATAGCTATCCCAGGCAGTGTTCAAAGAACATAGCAGCCTGCCTCATAGCCCTATCCCTGTGGCCTTTGTTAAACCTGACCCCACGTGGTCCCTTGTCCTGGCTTGGCCCTGACCCTGTGGAAGTGGGCAGAGTATTTCTGCAGCCGCTCATCAGGCCCATTAGTGCAGAAGCCCTTGGCTGCCTGTCTCTTGCAACACTCAGCCAGACAGCCCTTGCCTGCAACAGGTGGCCTCAGGAGGCAGGAGCATCTGTACTTCCCCCAACTACTTGCTGCTTGTCCTCTCAGAGAGATGGCTACGGCTACTACAAGGAGTCAGTTGACCCTGGTAAGGGCCACTCACAGGCCAAAGGTCTGGAATTGGGAGGGAAATTGAGGCTAGTGCCCTCAGGTTGGGGAGAGGGATTGATGGGCCATTGAAGGACAGTTTCAGGCATGTAGGAGACCTGGACATGGCCCTCCTCACTGGTGCCACTATCGTCCATCTCTCGAGGTGTCCAAGAGGGCTTGTTCCTGGGACAATAGTGCCTAGGCTGAGGGCTTTTCCTAGTGCTGCTTGTCTCTCAAGGATACCTCACAGCTATACCTGGAAGAGTGTGGAGCTCTGTTCCTCAGGAGTATGTGGATGGCTGGCCTAGGGCCATTCATTCCTGTGTAGATAGCCACCATGGGCCTGGGGAGAGAGGAGCCAGGCTGAGTCTGGACATGGGGACATGAGACTATCTCTGGACCTTGGGCACTGTAGCTTTTATCTATGGGTTTCTCTAGCCCTTGTCTAGATGCTCTGAGGTCTACAGTTCCTTGGGGCCACCTCTTCCAGTGCTAAGAAGACCTCTTCATCTGGTAAATAAAACACTTGATGGTATATTAGTATAATTATTATGTTTTTTTTTCCAGACAGGGTTTCTCTGTGTAGCCCTGTCTTTCTTGGAACTAGCTCTGTAGACCAGGCTGACCTTGAACTCACAGAGACCTGTCTGCTGCTGCCTCCCAAATGCTGGGATTAAAGGCGTGCACCACCAATACCCAACAATGATGTCTTATTTTTTTTACTGCGTTCTAAGGTGGGATCTCCAAGCCTGCTCAAGGCATCTGGCTCTGCCAGCTCCATTCCTCCCACTTTGCTATCCGTCCTGTGGCTTCATCCAGACTTGTAGCCTTAAGAACACCTCCACACTGAGGCTTTTAAGTGTGTGTCTCCACTGTCTTCCCTGAACTCTGTCCTTACACAGCCAGCCATTCACACTTGAGACGCACCGGCAGATGGGTGGCATGCTTGGATCAGTTTCCCAGAATGCTCAAACCCAATGGAACCCTGCTCCAGCTGCTCAGGCTAGCCCGTGTGATCCTCCCAATGTGTCTCTACCTAAAACCCCTATGCCTCAAGACACCAGCAAATATATGTATTCGCTAGACCTTACCACCTCTCTGTCCTGGGCTCACTGTCACTGTACCCAGATTGTAGAGACAGCCTAATGCCCCTATTTTTATCCTGTCCCAAGAAATCCCCATTGTGTAGCCAGGAATCTCTAGGCTTCTCCCAGTTGCTGGGGTCACTCCCTCCTCCCCTCTATGGAAGGTCCCCACTTTCTAGGGAACATCAGTTGCGCTCTCTCCACAGCCCCCCCCCCATACCACCGTCGTTCCCTCACCACCCAACCTCGCTCCATGTGCTTCTCTTCCGTGGCTCTCTATGAACACTGGCCTGACAAGGCTGCTGTACTTGGGACATATGCTCCTGTACAGACAGACGGCAAACATGCTCTCAGCTTCTCTCTAACACCCCACACACCACACAGTGCACTGCCCATAGCTGGCATCTGCTAAGGAGATCTTCCAGTGCCTTTCAGGGAATTAGGAGGAAGAGAGTCCTCCCACAGGAAAAGCCCTATGTTTGCTTGTGTCCATGAACCTTGGTTATGTATCCTATGACTTCTCAGACAAGGTCCACAAGAGAAACTAGTGAGCTAACAGGATCTCCCTGCAACATGAGACCCTTCTAGGGACACACAGGGTAGAATGTCTTACTGGACACCAATCAAAGTCGGGTCCCCAAATCATGAAGGAAGCAGCCCAACGGGTGGGAATAAGCTCGGATCTCCGGCATGCCCCTTGCCACTCAACTCTGCACTCCTGGCTCTGTGGGTTTACAAGGAGGGATTGGACAGTGTGTATTCGGTGTTCTAGGAGTATCTTGGAATGATTCAGGAATGCGGGGGAGACCCAGGGATGTCCATGGTGGGCCTGGCCTATAGTTGGTCCTATGTACAATGCATGGGCACTGCTAGGTAGACTTCCTCATGACACGATGCCCATTTTCCTTGTCCCACAGCCACTTCTGGTCAGACTTCCTCTGGGTTGTACACTGACCTGATGCCAAAAGTACAGGCATCGTCAGGCCCAAAGCACTCTGAGGTAGGCTTCCGTTTCCAAGGATGACTCGCCTTTGGAAGACACTCTCCACAGCAAGAGCAGAACTGCTTAGCAACTTCAGCTCAAGCACCTTCCACACACACCCTCCAACCTGCATCACCAGGATTGGGGAAGAGATTTAGGGGTATGTGAGGGTGTCCTACTAGCCCCAGTGGTCTGGATGTACCGCAGCACACCAGGTTTGGCCAAGACTCAGAATGAGGGCTCTGTGGCCAGCTGACTTAGACCAGTTCTACCACTAGGGGGCAGGCCCCCCACTTCGCTATAGCCTCAGTGAGAATGCAGACCCAGTTTGTTGGAAATCTAGACTTCTGTAAAAAGGATCTGTTTTAAATAGATTTTAAAGGTTGGCAGATCCACAGGCCAGATGCAGTTCTGTTTATGAGAATGGGCTAGGCTCTGCAGACAGTCCCATCTCACGCCCTTGATGCCAGGAAGTTCCACCTCCTCTCTGGAAAGGATGTAGAAGGTAGCATGGTAGTGGTAGGTGTTGGGTTTGGTTTATTCATCATGGCCTTGCTGGTGAATCCAGGGTACTAGGGAGTGTTGGGGGGGTCTTATTTCATAGAGGAGACTCTTGTGTACTTGTGAAGTACATACTCTGACTGTGTCCTGAATCAAATTTAAGTTTTGACGGAGACAGTACTGGTCCTCTGGACAGGTGGTATCAGTTTGGCTTCACTGGCATCCAGGCCCTCGGGACACACACTCTGGCTTAGGAGCTGTAGAGCCTGGGCACCATCCAGCACACTTGGTTTTCCCAACATCTACAGGAAGATGACCCCGCCAACCCCCCACCTCTGTAAGAAAGAAACAGCACCTACCATTTGTCCCATTCTCACTGGGACCCTTTAAGCTCTGGACAAGTTCTCATCTCCATAAAGAAGACAGGATGCCAGGCAGTGGTGGCACATGCCTTTAATCCCAGCACTTGGGAGACAGAGGCAGGGGAATCTCTAAGTTCAAAGCCAGTCTTGTCTATAAAGAGAGTTCCTGGACAGCCAGGGCTACACAGAGAAACCCTGCCTCGAAAATAATAATAATAATAAAAAGAAGAAGACAGGAATTGCTTGGAGCCCTCATCAGCCAGATAATACAGCCACACACTATCTAGTCACCCTAGGCAACTCCTTAGTCCTCGTCCTCTTCAGAGACCCAAGCCTGAAGTGTGGCTCCTTCCATGAAGAATCCTGAACTGAAAACGACCTCTAACCCTAACCCTAACCCTAACCCTAACCCCAACCCTAACCAAACCCCAACCCCAACCCTAGCCCTAATTCAAACCAAACCCTAACCCCAATTCTAACCCTAACCCAGAATCCAGCCTCCAGTCACCAAGAGGAGCTACCTGGACAGAGAGGCAGGGATACGATCCAACAGGGCCTGAGGATTGAACTTTTGTTAGGATCAGCCCTGGTTGTGTCACAAAACCACAGATATCTTATAAGTGGGTCCTTTTGATTGATTTTGGTTTGGGTTTGGTTTGGTTTTTGTGACAGGGTTTCTTGCCTCTGTCTCACGAATGCTGGGATTAGAGGTGTGTGTCACCACACCTGGCCTGTCCTTGGGTGTCTTCCTGAGTACTGGAAATAGAAGCATGTGCCACCACACCCAGCCTGTCACTGAGTCCCTTTAAACAGCTGTACCTCAAGGGAGAAGACAAGCATCCTACAGCTGCTATCTCTCAGCAAATTGTACGTGTCTAGGAAAGAGACAGAGGAGGACAAGGGTGTTGCTCTGGGGAACATCCTGGATTGCTGGGTACAACATGGATTGTTACAGGGTGCTGGCTATGTCTCTAGCAGGCTTCTCTGAGGGCTGAAGGCAGAAGTGACTGGCCACACACTCACCTCATATTCACCTGATGCTGGTGTCTGCTCCGTGCCTTTGTCAGAGTGCTTCCTGACTTCCCTGGATTTAAATTCTGTGTGGGGTTTATTTTTTTAAGTGGTCATTAACCAATGCTCTGTATCTCTTAGGAATGCTTTTGGTTGAAGGAAACCAAGAGTCTGACTCCCCACGGCTTATGTAACTGCTCCAAATCCTTCATGTAGAGTTGGCTAGGTCTAGCATCAACCTGTTTTCTCTGCCATGTGCAATAGGCTAACATTGTTTTGCTTCCAGCCTTCTCTCAACATGGCTACAAGGCGGCTGCTGCAATGCCGACCATCACATCCTGTGTTCATAAACAAAGAGGCACTGAACTCCCCTCTCCAGCTAAAATCAGGCTTCCCTTCACCTGTCATTGATGAATTGAGTCATATGCCCAAGCTCCAAGCAAAGGAGAATAGAATTATTATGGTCAGCTTAGTCTATCAGGGTTTACTGTTCTACCTAGTCCTCCTGAGCAAACTCTGGGTAACTGAAGAAAAAGATGCCCCTTCTACATACAGTCCAAATTCCTCCAACACACTGAGTTTATGTGCAAGACACAAAAGATGCTGAGTCCCACAAAAAATGGATCTGTACCTTTTATCAGAAGATCCCTCACTTTTCTTTTTGGTTCAAAGTTCAAGTGTCTTTGCAATGACTTCTCACTGCCCAGTGTTCTAGCTTAGGCATGAACAGCCTCATGCTGCTCACTGCCAGGGTCCATCCTGTGGAGGGTGAATCCCATGCCTTGGCCAGCCACATGCAGGACTGGAGTGTGGTTCTGAGCTTCTCATGCACAGGTCTCCCAAATTGATACTGAGAGTGTCCTCCCTCTGGGCTCAAAGTCTGCACACTGTGAATGGCCATGCTTTGCTAGCCAGACCCCTGCTTGGTATCAGGGGTCACACCAGCTACCTAGTCTTGGCTACCCTGTGCATACTGACCCATTCATTCCATAGAGTCCTACAGTGGGACCTTACACATGAAGTCTTTACACAGTAATGCCAGCTCCAGTCCTGCCTCACCAAAGTCCCATTTACACATTTTCCTCCCCTCATCCAAAATCTTAGGGGCAATGGGAGGCACTTCAAGGCATGGTGCTGCAAAATCCTGCTAAGAGCAAAGATTACCCAGTTCCCTGCTGTTCACTCCTCCAGAGTACCTAGGCTAATTGTTGAGGGGCTGGCCCTGGAATATTTGAAATAACCTATGGTAAATATTCTGAGGTGTGGACCATCCTGCATTCTGGAGTCAGAAGACAAAAAAAAGAGACTCTTGGTGTGTGGAGGCTCCTGGTGACAGCCACAGCCGCTCCCATCCATCCCCTCCCTGTATAGGTAGAGCAGATCCTGGCAGAGTTCCAGCTGCGGGAAGAAGACCTGAAGAAGGTGATGAGGCGGATGCAGAAGGAGATGGACCGTGGCCTGAGGCTGGAGACCCACGAGGAGGCCAGTGTCAAGATGTTACCCACCTACGTGCGTTCCACCCCAGAAGGCTCAGGTACCACAGGGGTCATCTGTCCCTAGACAGGACTCCCTAGGTAAATGATGGCATCCCCAAGCCACTGGGTAGGTCTTTGCCCAGTTGCCTAAAGCCCTGGGGTGCTTGGGCCCAGCTATCAAACCTCAGGAGAGCTGGTTTCTTTCTTTCTTTTCTTTTCTTTCTTTCTTTCTTTCTTTCTTTCTTTTTTTTTTTTTTTTTTTTTTTTTTTTTTTTTTTTTTTTTTGTCTCTAAGGTCACTTGGGGAACCTCCTCCTTATCCAGAGTCTAGTCTGTTTGTTACTCTAGGTCTCTATGTAGCTAACTGGGTTCTGGCTGCCTCTTCCTAAGGCAAGGGTTTCCCACTGATGTTCCTGAGTTTACCTTTGACCCTTCCACAGCTTGCTTCCCCTCATCCACAGTGTCTGGGGTCCCCAAACCTATTCCACCTGTCAGGTAGGCAATGAGGTTGAACATATCTCCCTCTGCCTGCAGAAGTTGGAGACTTTCTCTCCTTGGACCTGGGAGGAACCAACTTCAGGGTGATGCTAGTGAAGGTGGGCGAGGGGGATGCAGGACAGTGGAGTGTGAAGACCAAGCAACAGATGTACTCCATCCCCCAGGATGCCATGACGGGCACTGCAGAGATGGTGAGCAGCTTCGGTGGGGGGAGGGCTGGAAAAGGGGGGCTAGGGGTCAAGGTCACCCAGGATCTCAAGAGAATTGGTCCTTGGGAGGGTTCCAAGAACAGGAGTGATGGTGAGCCACCCCGCCTCAGACAGAGACCCAAGTAGGTGGCTCAGAGGCTTAACCTGTCCCCAGTCCCAATTTCCAGTCCGCTCAGAACAAGAAGGGGCTGAAGAGGGGTCAGCAGCAGGAGAAAACCCAGCTTCTGTCCAGTTTCTTAGAGGAAAACCAAAGCTTAGGTCTGAACAGTCAGAAGTCATGCTGGCCCAGCCTTCTGCAGTTCCCAAAACGCAGCCTTCCTCACAGGCCACCACTAACCCATCAACGGGTATATGCCAGTGGTGTGGCAAGGGTTCCCTAAGCATGAGGAAGACACAAACAGGGAACCTAGAAATAGAGGGAGCCACAGGCTAAGCCAGAACCCCCAACCATGCCCAGGGACAAGGGAAAACCCATTACCAGAGGGGCATCCAGGCAAGAGGTTGCCCATAGCCACCCAGCCTTTCTTCAGCACACCTCAGCCTGGGGCTGGGCATGTTATGAGGCAGCTCCCTCATCCATCTACAAAGTGCTCAGCGGTGCCTCACCACATGAACCATTCCACTGGAAGGGATTGGGGCAGCCTTCAGCAGGGGTCAGGTGACCAGGATACAGCAAAAGAGACAGTAATCATAGTCATGGCCAAGAATGTGCTTCTACCTAGAGCTTCACAGGACATCCACCCAGGCTTGATGCCAGTCAGTCCTCACTGAGAAAGTGAGGAATGGGGGAGGGGGGCTCAGGGGTTCGACTAAATTGGGGATCAGCCTGTGTTGTATCACCTTGCTCTGGAGACTGCAGTCTGCAGGACTCTCCATCTGAGGAGGCGCAGGGCCTGAGTGCTGAGGAGAAACAAACTGCAGACAGGTCCAGCATACAGTTGCAGCCTCTGGGGTCAAATGTCTTAACACCTCCAAGGGACACTTCGGCACAGTCCCTGGGGAGAGCTGCTACTGTCCAAGCCCTGACCTTGACCCAATACCACTCTGGTGCAACTCCTAGCTCTTTGACTACATCTCCGAGTGCATCTCTGACTTCCTGGATAAGCATCAGATGAAGCACAAGAAACTACCCCTGGGCTTCACCTTCTCCTTCCCTGTAAGGCATGAAGACATAGACAAGGTGAGCCAGACAGAGGAAGGGGAGATGCATGGACAGAAAGACCCCTGAGGAGAATTCTGCTCAGATTGCCTTCAGTCGCAGCTCCCCAACCAAGGCTGTAACAGAGCCCAAGCTTGGAAGAGGTTTCAGTTGTGGCCCCTGTCACTTCCTATGTGTAAAGCTTTGGCAAACAGACATGACATCTGCTGATTCTTACCATGTGGCAAAGCCTCTCATGAGACATGCTATGATCACCCCTCTACAGATAGAGTAACAGGTTAAGCAAGTTGCTCTAAGTGGGAGGTGGTAACTGGCCCTAAGACTGGGGCCCCAGCTCACCACATAGCACAAAGACACCTCACTGCTTCTGACTGCGCCAGAAGTGGGAAGGGTCTGAGAATCTACCCTACTGGCAATCCCATAAGTTACATATAATACACACACACACACACACACACACACACACACACACACACACACACACACAATCTCTGCTTTAGTTTCCTTTATAGTTGCTGTGATTAAGTACTTTGACAAAAGCAACTTAGGGGAGAAAGGTCTTAATTTAACTCCCAGGTTATCATAGCAGGGAAGTCACAGAGGCAGAAACACAGAGCAAAGAATTCATGCTTGCTGTGTTCAGCTTGCTTTTTCCATGCCTCTGTCTAGGGAATGGTGCCCCCCACTGGGGGGTAAGTCTTCCTGCCTCAATTAATATAATCAAGATAACTGTCCACAGGCCAACTTAATCTTCACCTAGACAAGCCCTTACTGAGACTTCCTCCCAGGTGACAAAACAAATCATTACAACCTGTGTCAGAGATGAAACCAGGGGCAAAGGCAGCAGCCAAACCCACACCTCCAGTAGTTTTCTAAGCCCAAAGCTCCACAGAGAAAGCTACATGTGATACCTTCTTGTGCAGTAGGATCCACTAAGGAGATAAACCCCAAAGTTACTCAGTTTTGTTCTCCCAGGGACCTTCCTGTCCTACGTAGCTCTACTCTAGAATCACAACCCTGAGTTTTGCTGTCCAACACAGCGGGAGGGTACAGCTTAGCAATGGAGCATTTACCCCAAATTCTCAAGGTCCTGGTTGTGTGTGTGTTTTAGTGTGTGTGTGTGTGTGTGTGTGTGTGTGTGTGTGTGTGTGTGTGTAGAAAATGGTTCCAAATACCTCTCAAAGCTGTGTGAGTCTACTTCCTCAAATGTGAAATGGGGGAGCCATGGACCTGCGGCCTGGTTGGTTTAAGGACACAGCAGCAGCCATGTTTTCCTACTTCTACAGGGCATCCTCCTCAACTGGACCAAGGGCTTCAAGGCCTCTGGGGCAGAAGGGAACAACATCGTGGGACTTCTCCGAGATGCAATCAAGAGGAGAGGGGTGAGGACACTTTTGCCTGCCCTGAGGAGCTATACTGGGCCCCTACTCCTTTGTCACAGGGCCTTCTCCTCAGCCGCATTCCCATAGTCTCCGTACTCTTGGCAGGACTTTGAGATGGATGTGGTGGCAATGGTGAATGACACAGTAGCCACGATGATCTCTTGCTACTATGAAGACCGCCAATGCGAGGTCGGCATGATTGTGGGTAAGGGCTTGTTCCCCTGCAATGCTTCCCACAGGGACTTAGCAGTCAATGCCAGAACACTAACAGCTAGTGCCAGTCAGGGGAGGTCTTGTCCCTGAGCAGGTGGCCTTGCGGATGTGGTGATTCGGGAACCGTATGTTGATGGGAAGTATTTCCATGTTTGCAGTGTCAGGGCATCAGGCGGCCTGTCAGCTGCACA